GCACCTGCCACCAACACCTGCCACCAACACCGACGTAGCACCGAAGATCGAACTACGTCGCGCCGTGCACACCCAATTGCGCGAATCGGAGGTGCATCCATCGCACCGCGTGAGTGTCTTGACCAGTGCTGCTGGAATGAACTCGGCCGGGTAGCTTGAGAGACTTTTGACTTTTAAAACAACTTTTATTGCCGCCAGCAGCAAAAGCACCGGAGGCGATTTCAATATGAAATACACAAAGTCACCAGCAGACAAAATAAAACAAACGTTACAAATCCACGCGCTGTGGCGCTGAAAGCACCGCGCACAATACAAATGAAAAGTCACGTGGCGGTGGTGGTGGTCATCGCGCACGCCACGGTGACGAGCGAGCGCTTCAGAAGGTGAACACGAGGGTGCCGTGCACGCTGGTACAGAGAGGGGCTTGTCCGGCTCCCCAGCGTTCGAAGAAGACGTGCACATCACCAACGTGTGTGTGGTATGCGTGCTCCAGCCGGAGCCGCGCCTTAAGCAGGCCTCTGAACACTGGAAGCACAGAGCAGTAGCTTGAGAGAGAGAGAGGAGAGAACCTCCCCACGCACACGAGGGGACAGATCAAACTCACTGCCACTCCAGGCGCCTCCACGAAGCCTCCCCCCCCACTTTGCTGTGCTGATGTCTACTGAACGGGGGCCCCAACCGCCTCGTAGTGGCGAATCGGGGGGAGGGGTGGGGGTTGGGGAAGATCGACAAATCTCCAGGGACACTTTGCCTCTTATAATCCATCAATCCATCCTACCGCTTACTCAGCTGCGGGTTCCTCGAATGAACGGCGTGCGTTCGCCTTCAACTCATATGCAGACATGGTCATCACAAGGGAGTGTACGCGATGCCGGATGATCTTGGTAGCTACTACATATGTACATATGTACATACATATGTACATATGTACTACATACATATGTAGTAGCTACGGGACCCGCGCTAAATGCTTTCAAGCTATCAATTCCGGTTCGGTGATTCTGCACTTGCTCTATTACTAGAGTACTATACTGCCTTCAACTTTTACGAACGACCGGGTGTTTAAGGTTAGCGATTTGTCGTATTATCTGGCTGCATAGCGAATGAAAAATGCAATAACTTTACTATACAAGTTACAAATGTATGTGTTTTAATATTTACGGGGTTTTATTTTATTGAAGGCCCCTTTATAACATATACTACAGGCCCGGCACGAGTTTAATCCGGCACTGAGTGCACACGTGTCGCTTGTTCCTCACCGCCACCTACTCAAGTCTCGATCTCCCTCCTGGGATCGCGCCCGCTGCTGCTGCCGCCGCCGCCGCTGCTGCTGTCACCGATCTAGAATCTCACCCAGATCCCGACCGAGCGCTACTTGGTGGAACAGAGCGGAACAAAAAACGTGGACATCCAGAATGGACGCCTCAATTCCAGGACGGCGAACATCATCGCACAACTCCTTCCTGGCTTTGACGTCCTCCCTCCTCGACGACGCGGGGCGAAAACCACGGACCGCGTGAGAAAAGCAACAGGCGGATTCGCAGATCCATCCCCGGCGTCGATGTAAAACAAATAAAAATTAAAGGACAGAGCCACAGAGTCGCACAATTGTGGCCACACAACCCAACAACTCTGGGCCACACGGTAACCGCTGCGGTCTTCGCCCCTTCGACAAAGCAACACAACAACTACGCGGACTCTCTCTCCCTCTCATGACCAGCAGACATCCCCTGAACCGCATCACCATCGAACGCAAGACGAGATCAGAATTCCAGTGAAGAGGCAAACGAACTCCGAAAAAATGCCACGCAAATTTGCACACCATGCGCACCTTACCTGCCGCGTCGTCCGCAGCTCCGGTGCCAGGTGTGAATGCGACATCACCTGTGCGCTCACCTGCGAGACTTCGTGGAGTGCGGTGACGTCGGCGCAATGAGACCCCTCCCCCCTCCCTCGCTCGTTCACACCCCCCCACCCAACCCCAACTCCCCTTACCCCCCCGTGGAGCCACCACCACAACTTTCACACCGCGCTCCCTGTCAACGGGACTCTCAAACTTTCTACTCCGCGTGATCCCCAGACGCGGGCACAACGAAGGCGAGTGGGTTTTTTTTTTTAAATAGACGCAGTCATTGATTTTGGGGGGTTGTTTCTTGTGGACGGCAGTGTCGCACAGTGCTAACGCTCGCATCGAGACGCGTCCGTAGGGTTCGATTCCAAACTCGGGTTTGTATGTTCACCCACTATTCTGCACGGGTTTCCTTTGAGATATGTGTATTCTATTATAGATCCGTGGACCAGAGATGTATAGTTAATCGGATTCCTCCAGTGTTAATAAAGACTATGATCCTGATTCCGATTCCTCCTGTAGTTAAAAAAAAACAAACACATGTCACTGGTAATCAACCGAACGTCCCAATGTTGAAAAAATACCTGCAAAATATTCAACTGGAATTACACGAATCAACCTACTACTGCACAAACTTAGCAGGACCCTCCTGAAAACGAGTCTTGGTACTCGGTGAGGATATTCCTGGGTATAATTAAAGAAGGGAAAATAACGTGTTCTCGTTTTAACAATTTAATTTACGAGTGCCTGTTGCGTCAACACATGCCGATGATATTTGTTTACACCGGGCACTGATTTAAGACTGCGTCGATCCAGAGGATACCAGGATGGGTTCGGGTATCACTCGCTACGTAGCAGTGCGCTAACCACTTTGCCACCACTCCCTACATATACACACAAACAAACCAGACAAACAGACGGTATGAATCAAAGACAAAGATTCCCCGTATAGCTTTAAACCGACTGTTGGGGCAAGTGCTGTTAGTGAGACCCTATGAAGGCCGGCACGGCACACGAGGGGGTGGGTGGCCAACACCACGCCCGGCCGCCTTTGTCTCCCCAGTGGCGACGTTTGCACACCACCCCCAGTAACTTATTTAAGGTGCAAGTCGACCACGCTGGAGGCCACTGTAGGTGATGGTTGGGAATCGAACTCGGGTCGCAGGATTAGTGGAGTCGTTAAGAGTGCGAACGACTGCAACTAGGAGACAAGAGTTATAAGAACCTGGGAAGAGAGATGGTTGGGAGGGCATTCCAAAGTGAAGCGGAGCGAGGGAAGAAGCAGAATGGGAAGCGCTGTGGCCTGTAGTGTGGTGAGTGGGTGAGTCGGTGAGTGGGTGAGTGAGTGGGTGGGTGGGTGAGTGGGTTGGTGAGTGTTGCTGTGGCCTGCAGTGTGGTGAGTGGGTGAGTCAGTCGGTGAGTGAGTGAGTGGGTGAGTGAGTGGGTGAGTGAGTGGGTTGGTGGGTGTTGCTGTGGTCTGCAGTGCGGTGAGTGGGTGAGTGAGTCGGTGAGTGAGTGGGTGAGTGGGTGGGAGGGTGAGTGGGTTGGTGAGTGTTGCTGTGGCCTGCAGTGTGGTGAGTGGGTGAGTGAGTCGGTGAGTGAATAAGTGGGTGAGTGAGTAGGTGAGTGAGTGGGTGAGTGAATGAGTGAGTGGTTGAGTGGGTGGGTGGGTGAGTGGGTGGGTGAGTGAGTGGGTGGGTGAGCGGGTTGGTGAATGTTGCTGTGACCAGCAATGTGGTGGCGGTAGTGGAAGACCGTGTGGGTGAGACGAAAGAGTCACTCTGGTCAACCGAGTCCTCAACGCAGGGTGGAGAAATCAAGTCGTCAGGGAAAGTATTTTGGGGAACCACCTCCGATGAGCGGTGTGCATCTCTCGGAATCTCGCTCCGTCTCCTGGCGGTAGCAAAACCTCTGCTCCATCCTCGCGACCCAATCGCCCATCGGGAGAGAAAGCGCATCGGAGGCTATTAGAGCCATTTAGGAGGGGAGCACGCATTCAGTCCCTTGAGCCAATTTCATTAAGGTCTCATAATGAGCCGTCCGCGGAGGGTTTAAATAAGAAAGCGTTTATAATGTGCGCGCGGAGGGGGTTGGCGGTGGAGAGAGGGGGCGGTGGTGGTGGCGGTGGTTGTGGTGTTTGGTGGTGGTGGTGGTGGGGAGAGGAGGAGGAGGCGTTGGGCTTCGTGTTCATATCAAAGCTTCTCTCGCCTTTTCTTATTCAAAGTAGGCGGCTCAATAAGACGACGTGCTGAGCTAGCCACATCAACATATGAGTTGGGGTCATTCATCACGGGGCGAAAGAAGTGGGGGGGGGGTGTAGAAGGATGGGGATGGGGGGAGTGGTTTGGGGGGTTGGTGGGTGGTGGTGTAGAGGGATGGGGGGGGTGAGTGGTTGGGGGTTGGTGGGTGGTGTAGAGGGGTGGGGGGTGAGTGGTTGGGGGGTGGTGGTGGTTGTTGAGGGGTGGGGGGCATCATCGGGAGAAGGGAAGAGAAATGGTGGGGGGGGGGAAGAGAGGGAAAACGAAAGGGAGAGAGGGAGAGAGAGAGAGTGGTTCACACACAAACCCCCACGCACACCCCGACGAATCCCGGACTCAATCTTAAAAACTCCTCTGTCTAACCGCAGGGAACTTCTTATAAGAGCCCGAGGAACAGTCACTTGGGCGCCGCATCTTTTCTAGGTTTTTGCTTCTCGAGCCGTCTAATTCATGACGACTATTATTGTTTCCGCTATTATTACCACGACGACGACGACGACTACTGCTACTACTACTGCTGCAGCTGCAGCTGCTATCGCACAATTGCCGTGAATGCAACCGCTGCAGCCATTGCGAGCGTTGACACGGCCCATCGAGAGTGGCAACGCTGCGTTGCCGGAGCTGTCGCCGTTTGTCGCGTCGGGGAAAAATGAGTGCACACCTCCTCCGCTTGTTGTGAGCAAGATCTCGTCCAGCTCCCGCTGCTGCTGCTGTTTCACCCAGAAGAGGAGATTTCAACCGGGGGAAATTACATTTTTTTGCAACCGCGAATAAATTAGCGAGAGAAGGAGGCAGAAATCGACGCAGCTTTTCAGTAGTTTTGGGGATATAGGGGGCGCGGGCGAGGGGGGGCGGTGGAAATATATTTTTTTTGAGGGGGGGGTGGCCACTCAAGCAAAATTAGTTGGCTCAGAACCCTTACGGCGCGTCTCTCTGTGCAAGTCCTGCAAACGACAACAGAAATAAAGCCACTGGCCATCTCGGGAAATGCAACGGACTGGGCGGTAAAACAAAAAATAAAGCAAGTTCAGCCGTCCAAAGGCAAATCCGGTCCAGCCACAAACTTTTCGACAAATCCAGCCAATTCTCTACCAATCCAGATTTTTTTTGGTCTTTCTCTCTCGCCAGAAATCTCAGCAATCGCTTATTTACCAATCCAGCCACGTCGGCGGCAATCCGTCCGGCGTCGTTTTACCGACGAAACAAGATCGCCGAAAAGAGCAGGCAAACGTCTCCGTCGATCCAGCCATCGTACTCCCCCAACCAACCCCGGCCATCTCTCCTGTAAACTCGTCAAACAAATCTCTCGCGACCTTATCCAGCCACCGTCCTACCGACCCACCCAGCCCATCCAGCAATCGTTCTACCAAACCCATCCAGCCATCTCTGAAGCGAGCAAAGCGAGCCGTCCCATACGTCCAGTGTTTCAAGCAATTCTCTCCACCACCAACCCCATCGATTGAGAAATCTTTCGACGCGATCTACCAAAAAGGCGTGCGGGCCACCTCTCCAAACGGCGCATCTGTCCACCCTCATAAAGCCAGCTCATTGTTCCCGGCCATCCTCAGCCAGTCTTCTGCAGCCATCCAGGATTGTTGTCCCCTTCTGCCTCTGACGACGGAGGAGGCGGCCGGGATTGGGGGGCCGTGGCGAGAGGGCCGGCAGCCGCGGCTGCGAGCATGCACTGCAGTCTTCTGGACGCGGACATGGACTCAACAGGTGGTTATCGAAGCCGCGGGCAACTTTTGCGTTGTCCCTCACCCCGCGGTCGCGTTGAGTCGCCACCTCGAGTCGGCGTGGAGTTTGAGCTCGAATTTATATTTTAGTTGTTGTTGTTGTTGTTGCGTCGAGGTTTGAGTGAGTCGGGGGAGTTGAGTTGCGTTGCGTCGAGTTTAAGGAGTTGACTTCGAGTCGAGTTGCTTCCAGCTGAGTTGTCTCGAGTCGCCTCGGATCGAGCTTCAGAGTGGGGCGCGCGCTGGTTTGCATCGTTCAGTGAAACGTTGATGATGCCGCTGACGATGATGTGCTTACATCTTCGGCATCATCAGAATTCGCGTTGGCATAATAATAGTAACAATAATAACTGGTTTCAACTTTGCTATCATCAATAGTCGATGTCATCTTCATCGTCGTCATCGTCAGCGTAATTTGTTTGACTCTGTAAATCAGTGTCGGGACGCGGTTGGAGATGAGTTGGAAGTATTCGTCATCGTAACTTTATTAGATGTGCGTATGCGCGCGTGTGTGTCTTATTGTGGGTAGCGGTAGTGTAGCGGTTAGCGCGCTGCGCTATGAACCTGGCGACCCGGGTTCGATTCCCGCTCACGGCCAACACCCAGTGACGATTATCTGAGCCGATCCTGGGCCTCCCCTACGTCGACTCAGCCTCCAATGAGTACCTAGCTCTGTGCGTAAAAACATCCCCACTGGGGAGACAAAGGCGGCCGGGCGTGGTGCTGGCCACCCACCCCCTCGTGTGCCGTTCTGGGCTTCATAAGTGCTCGCTAACAGCACTTGCCCCAACAGTCTGTTAAGGCTATACAGGCGGATCTTTGTATATATACAGTATTATTATACATCTCTATATATATGGTTTTACTTTATGCATCAGTACCATAAGACGTTTTGTAAATTAGTTGGAAGTAAGTGATCAAATGTGCGTACGTGTTTGTATCTGCGTGTACAGTATGCGTATGTGTGTGTGTGTATATAAGCAGGGAACGGTAGTGTATCGGTTAGCGCACTGCGCTACAAAACCCGGCGTCCCGAGTTCAATTCCAGTGATGAGTAATACCTGAGCCGGTAATGGCACTTACACCGATGTCTACTCAGTCTTACATGAGTATACCTACCTGGTGCGGTGTGCGAACATCAGCGCTGGGGAGACAAAGGCGTCCGGTCGTGGCGCACCTTAATAGGTGCTCGATTACAGAACTTACCCCTACAGCCTGTTGACGTTACAATGCATACACATGTATCTGTGCATGCAATCGTATATGATCGTGTGAATAGCTCAAACTAGTAGATGATACATAGCGTTGGATCTCAAGTTTAAACAAGATGCATCCGTTCACTCACACAGTGTGTTTCCCCCCCTCCCTTCTATCTATCTTCCGACAGCACTAAAACTAAAACAATCTTCTCCACACACTAAAACTAACAAATAACTTTGTCGCAAAGTGCACGTACATCTTTGACTTTTCAGAGGCGTCGCGTGCTCGCTCGACGGAGCCCTTGGCAAGCGCGGCACCGTCTGCTAGAGCACGTGAAGAGTCACTTCGTAGTCGGGGGGAGAAAACTCAACCCCAGTCCTATCGATCCTTATTTTATGCCCTGGAGAAGGGTCGTTGCCCGAAACGTCAAACGCTGCGCGCACATATATTGTACGTAAATATGTAATTTCGTAAGGCATTGCTCAGTTCAGTTTATTAAAACACACGTGATTAATTAATACCCTGTTTACATTTAGAGGTTTTTATTTTATTTTACAAAATGTACCCAAGACGAGGGATCAGCGAGACGGAGAGACGTTATTTAAACGTTATTTAAACGTTATTTAAACGTTACTTAAACGTTATTTAAACGCTATTTAAACGTGATCTGCTTGGGGTGATAGGGGAATAATTCCCCCTTGCTGTTTTTCATATCGAGATGATCCGGACCGATGTGACATTATAATGATGTCAGAGATGGGCTGGACAAATCTGATACATAACAACGATAGTTCCCTACGTGAATTAGAACGATGTTCTAGATGGGCTAGACACGTCTGATACGTAGCGATGATGGTAACTGACCTGAATTATAACGATGTTCTAGAATGATTGAAAATTTGACACGTAGTTGGGTAAAAGTGTACAGCAGAAACGATCTAAAATCTCAATTATCAGGCTCGGGCGCGCCAAACATGAGGATCTGCGTTGCGTTAAGTCTGGCACGAAACACGTTCAACCATACGACATCCACCACCAGCAATGAACCGAGCAATTCACCTCCTGTAGATGATTGCAGCCACCGAAACCGGGTTACATTAGCATGGTTGGCTACGTAGAGTGCGAACTAAGTTCAACGTACACACATGCGTCGATGGGTATCAGTGCATTGGTGGATGAAACAGATCTAAACACAAACAGTGAGTCACGAGTCAGTGAACCGAGTGGTGTGAATTCTCGGGGAGTCTTCGAACAGGAATAAGAAACTTACACCCGGCACCGTTTATATGCGTGAACTTCTTTCACACCGTACGTAGCCAACCGTGCTAATCGGAGGTGCCGGGAAAGACAACACACACACACATCAGAGTGTGTGCCTACAACGAGAAACATCCAGAAATTAAAAGTTTATCATTTAAGCTTCCAAAAACTATTGGCCTCTACAATCTTGGAACAAATATAATGTGTTTTTTTTTACATGTATATATATGCGCCTAAGCCAAAGCAATTCTGTACCTGGAAGTGCCGAATCCAAAGAACAACACAATTACAACAATCTATTTTGTTTATTTGAGTAACCTTATCGCCTGTGGGTAGCGAGCGGGTGAAGACGGCTGTCGGTATACGTGCCATGAAGATGGTTCGTTGCCCGAATCGTCAGCTGATAATTATAAGGCCACGGTGTTATTGACGAATATGTTGAGATGTGCTTGGTATTGGTGCACGAGCACATATGAACAATATAACGTTCCGAATTAATAGTACTGTGCAACAATTGACTTATTTTCGAAGTCCTGTCGAGTAAATCATTACATTTGTAATAAATGTATCTCTCACGATCAAACTCTTGATCGTTTTCCATCGCATCTTTAATAGTTTTATTTTATTTTAATTAAGCAATTAATGTATTCAGATTTGATTGCGAGACTCAAGATTCGTTTGCAAGTGGGTCCAGCTCACGAAAGGTTTGGCAATATTGTGATATATGTGTGTGTGTGTGTGTTTGTATAACCGGAGTAGCTGCAGGAAACCCATCCGAATGAAGGGAGCACACGGGTTTCGATATTTTGAACGATTGGCTTGAGCAACATTCTTCAGACGCTGTCGCCTCCACAGACCTGGTTTTCACCTGAGGACGGCTACTTGCGTTGTGGCCGAAACGTCGTGAGAATTATTTTATTATGTTTTATTTTTATTATTGTATTACTTCCCTTCTACGTGACTTTACCGAAAGAACCAAGAAGATGAATCCCTGCAGTCACGAAAGCTTTAAATCGAAATTATTGTGTACCATTGTCTCGAGGTCCACTAAAAAGTTCATACACTTTGTGCTCCGTGACTTTTAAAGTTGTAGGATCGGACTCACTGTGCGTGTGGTCGTGCGCTTGCGTTCACTGTCCTGTAAATGTCTCGATGTTTAAGGAAATCTAAATTAACGGCGATTTAATCTCGTACACATTCTATGTTGTTCCGTTCACCGGCCAACAACCTGCTCTGGCCCCGTGCCCCTACTGGACATGTGTGGACAAAAAAGCTTAATAGCTCATCGGATTCTCCCTCCAATAATACATAGACACTCGTATTTTCAAGTGTGGTAGACGCGACGTGGTATGCAGGCACTCAGAAGGGGCTGTACATTGTGTTTAAAAAAGTTCTGGTGCTGTATAGACCTTACAGACTGTTGGGGCAAGTGCTGTTAGCGAGCACCTATGAAAGCCGACACGGCAACACGAGGGTGTGGGTAGCCAACACCACGCCCGGCCGTCTTTGTCTCCCCCAGTGGCGATGTTTACTACACACCGCACCAGGTACTCATTACAGGCTGAGTCTACCTAGGGGAGGCCCAGGACCTGTTCAGACAATCGTCACCGGTGTTGGCCGTGAGCCGGCAATCGAACTCGGGTCGCCGCGTTCGTAGCGCAGCGCTCACCACCTCGGTTTGTCGACCTCCCCCCGCACCTCCGATTAGCGCGGTTTGCCACGTACGGTGCGAAAGAAGTTCAACATACTTCCACTATACACTACCGCTCCCCACACACACACACGCACGCTATTATCGTCGTCACCATCCTTAATTGCCGAGTACACCAGTTGCCGCAGAGTGACAGAGAGAGGGGGGAGTGACGTCGCGTCTTGGATTTGTGTGTGTTCGTTTGCTGTCCTTCGCGCGCACCTACGATTAACGACGTTGGCTGCGTACGGTGCGAAAGAAGTCCAACATAATATTAATAAGTCCAACATACATACGTAGATACAGATTGTTATGGGTTAGATCTAGTAAATATGTAAATGTGTCGTTAAACCCGCCACCACCCAACACAGCCAATTTAGTAAGGGTTGTCACGTAAACAGAACGTGGCCAATTCGTCACTAGTACAGCACTAAGCGGTGTGTTGGAGAGCCAAGCAACAACATTTACAATCTAAGTACGACGTTTCGCCAGTGATTACAACTAGCTTCATCGGGCTACAGCCAGATTTATTATGGATGATATTGGTAGCGAAAACCCACGTGTTCAACATCCACACGTAGGGTGATGATTATCATCATCCCACGTGATAAAACATCCATACGTGGAGTGATGATTACAATCACCCCACGTGATCAACATCCACACGTAGTGTGATGATTACAATCATCCCACGTGATAAAACATCCACACGTAGAGTGACGATTACAATCACCCCACGTGTTCAACATCCACACGTAGAGTGATGATTACAATCATCCCACGTGTTCAACATCCACACGTAGAGTGATGATTACAATCATCCCACGTGATAAAAC